CTGGACTCAAATGAAGGTGTAGAACCATCTCAGGGATGATCAGAAGAAATGGACAGCACCTAAGTTAAATATATGAGTGTCACAGCAAAGGGTCTGAATACTTATGACCATGTGATATTTCAGTTTTTCTTTTTTAATAAATCTGCAGAAATGTCAAAAATTCTGTGTTTTTCTGTCAATATGGGGTGCTGTGTGTACATTAATGAGGAAAAAAAATGAACTTAAATGATTTTAGCATATGGCTGCAATATAACAAAGAGTGAAAAATTTAAGGGGGTCTGAATACTTTCTGTACCCACTGTATGTAAAAATAAAAGTCTAATGCACACCAAAAATTTAATAACTAAAGTTTAAAACCGTGAAAATTAAATGCAGTTTTGAAAAGGATTAGATAAATTGGAGAAAACTGCCAAAATGTGAGGGAACAAAACATTTCAATATAAATGGAAAAAAGCTGAATTATTTTTCATAACCTTCAATCTTTGATGAAATGTTTGTGCTAAAGATGCTCATTGTGCAGATATGTTTACTAAGTAGCACAAGATATTAAATGTTGATTCATTACCTATTTACACATTAACAGCCTACTGATTTGTTTTCTAACAGCTACTTGCTCCAAATACTGAAGGTTCTGATTCAAACCGAAGGTCGAGCTGCTTGATGTACTGGCATATCCACAAGATGTCTCGCTTTGTTGGAGCTGGAGCTGCAGTGTTACAGAGTGACGCTGCCTTGGCGTCACACAGTCCGAGTACAGACTGTGGTGCTGTGTTGAAGCCTGATTCTCCACTGGCCTGCAGAAAGGACACAGATCTGACAGCAGCGAGTTTCAGTTCGGTCTGTCATCAACTGGAGTCATGGAATTAATATTAGGTATTGACAGCTCGTATGGCCTTCAACAGCACTGGCTACCTGAGTGATCCCTACACTGAGCTTTCCTAACATGTCTGTTGACATTCACACTGAGGAACCTGTAACATTTGTGACATTTCCACACTATCAGGTTCACTCGCAGGTCGTAATGCAAGTCTGTACAAGTTGTTGAGAGACGGGAGCTGTCAGAAAACCTGTCATGTTTGTGTGTGCATTAATATATAACTGTTCACATGGGATGAAGTTGATGTACGTCGCCACGCTCTGATGACTTGGATGAGAAATAGAAGGACAAAGTCATCCAGCATGGAGCTGCTAGTGAAAGCCTGATTCAAAAACATCACCTTTAGAAGCCGCTCTGACCAAGGTGCAAACAGCCTCTGGAACACCGTCACCACATGCTGCTGTTAAATGACGTCAGCCAAACGTCTCTCTTGCCCATGACAAAACAAAACTGAGGAGAGAGGAGTGGACGTGCAGGGTACATCATGTACGAACCTGGCATCCCAGCTTGTAGGGAGAAGGACCTGCCCAGCTGCATCGGTGACATCATTTTAATGGTCAGTTTGGCTAGGTAGATGGCCTCATACTCCTAGGAGACAAACGCTCATTAATATAGCAGTAAGAAATGAAGAGTTCACGTCCTAGCAACGGCACAACAATGGGTCAAAAATTACAATGGTGCCTCAGTCCATATTTAAATCCTCAATACATTTCATTAGGATCTAAGTTTACCATCAAATACAGATGCTCAAATAAGTGACATGTTAAAAGAAGACTGCAGAAAACAGGATGAGCTGCATCACACCAGCTCATCACCCAGACTGAGAACACACACTCTAAAATAAAAGATCATTTGAATATGCCTGTGTCAGACTTGGTCTTTGCAAACATGCATGTTCTGATGCAATACTGTTCTTTTGCCATATTTCCCATTGTGTCCTTGTAAAGAGAATTAACTCTCAGCAGATGCCAATTCATTCTGCAGCAGTTATTAACACATATCCTTTCCTTTTAAAGTCCAAGAGCTGAAGACAGTATGTTGTTGTTGACACCATCGCAGCTGCCCTCCACTATTCCCTTTCTCACCTGGAAAATGGAGACTCCTACATCTGGATACTCTTCATTGACTACAGCTCCGCCTTCACCACAGTTGTCCCCCACAAACTGTCCACACTGGGTCTGCACCCCACCCTCTGTGACTGTTTCCTGTACTTTCTGACTAGCAGGCCCCAGACTGTCAGGATTGGCAGTAGGATCTCAGCCAGCATTGTTACAAACACTGGCGCCCCACAGGGATGTGTCCTCAGTCCCATCCTCTACGCCCTGTTCACCCACGACTGTGTCGCCTCCCACAAAGACAACAT